ATTTTTAGAGGCCATGTTAGGTTTTTGTTATGTTTTGAACTTTGCATGGGTGAACCATTTTATAGATGAATTTTTGGTGTCCTCTAAGAGCATCCTCATTTTGGTCAAGACCCATTCTATAGAGGAAATTCTCACCACTTTCAGTTTTCTTGATTTGAAAGCTTGAGGTGATGCCGTGCCTTTGAAGCCGCATTTGCTGGCTAGATTCGGGAGACTCAGGTATTTGATAAGCAGAATTACAATCCATTACACAAAATCATAGCAATCATTAGTAAGATGTGTCAAAGCCAAAAGTCTTTGAATGGACATGCATCATGCAAGCAACGGAAAATGAACACAGCTAACTTTCGGGAATTGTAAGCACGGCTTTGAGCCATGCCGTGCCCACCTGGTTGCCCTTCTATTTGTGCAACTTGGCTCATAGATCTCAGATGGGTCCAACATGATCAAAATATATCAAAACATATCAAAACACAATAGAGAACAATATAGAATATTATAGAATATAGAATAAACCTAGTTTAATTAATTCTATTTAAAGTTCAACGCGTAGAGTTGTGCTGTTTGGTGATTGCTGTGACTGTTGGATGACGCGTGCTTTATTGTAATGTTTCAACATGAGGGGGTTGCGGGATGCGTGGAGCACGTGGACTCGCCGACGTGGGATCCATGGCGAGGTATCTACGGTGTCTTGAAGCAATTGTGCAAAGCAGGTTCCGATAGGATATTTTTTGAACCTTTTTCAGAAACACTTGTCTTTTTTTCTTTGATCTTCTCTGAAGTTCTGTTTGGTTCCCTTTGTCTTCCTCTGTTTTGGGGTCTTTCTGAACATTCTTTCAATTTGTGATGACATGTTGCTTGACTGTCTCTATTTCGCAAAGCGCGCATGCGTGTGGAAAATTGGAAACTAAGTTGCCCGATGCTTGCGGTCAACCGGGCGCATTTCCTACCACCAGGTTTACTATGATCCGTTTCTTGGGACGCAGTGGAGCTTTTCGTGTGTAAAGTGACGGTTTACCATGGACTGCGGTGACTTCGAGCAACCAACAAACAATCTCAACGAATCTAAATGAAATCTAAGAGAACTTTTGAGAAAGGCGCTTGGCCTGAAAGATGCTGAGGAAGACGCTGATATGGACATGGACCAGCAGGATTTCGAATGCGGTGCCCAAGCTCAAGGAGAAGGTCCCTTGGCTGGTGGTGGACGGACGATGGATGGGCATTAACTGTGGAAGTGACGTGTTTGATCATGTTGCCTGTGGTTTTTTCTTCGGAACTTGGATCCATGATGGTTATGGATGACCCATGCATACGGTGGAGCCCATGATAGGCTATCCGCATCTATCCGCGAATTATGCCTGGCCAATCCTGGCCATCACTTAGAATTGCCCAAGCCAAGCCCCAATCTCTTCAGCCACTGCCGGGTGCCCATGACCAATTTCCCATGGTTGACTGCTGGCGTTGTGGGCCACATGCTGGCGCAAGTGCTGGCTGCTGGCAAGCTGCCAGATTTGAGCGCCGACTCTACCTGCAGCGTGAGTGAGCAAACGTGGCTTCGAGGATTTGGGTGGCACGCTTTTTGGTAGATTTCGGGTCAGGGACCCTCGGTCCGGGGCCGGGGCCCGGGGAATCGTGATATGATTTCAATATATTTCAATCATGTTCCATCAAATTCTGTCAATATTTCATAAGGTTTCAATATGTTTCAATAAATTTCAAAATATTTCAAGCATTTTCAAGACGTTGACACTTCATCACACTTCTATAAAATGGTGGCAAGACCATTAAACATAGAAAAGCTTACTATAGAATAGGAATATGAAAAAATGGTCACCTTTTACGCAATCTAAGTGAAGAGTTTTGTGTCAGGATGTGTCAGGACACCATTTTATAGATGTATTTTTTTATATTTTTCTATTTTTTTAAGTATTTTTTGTTTAATAAATCTTGTGGGCCCAGTTCTATGATTCTATAGAGCCTTGCTTGTGCAAAGCCCATGCTTTCAAGTTAAAGAAAACTGCTCAGGGCACCATTTTATAGACTTTTTTCTATGTTTACCTAGGTGTTTCCATTCTATAGAGGCACAGGATGCCACAGAGACTGTAATTTACAAGGGTTTCACTGCCAGGTGGTTCAGCGCGAGCAGCCATTATGAAGAGATTCTTGCATCAGCTGCTTCATTCACTCGAGAACGCACCCTGCATGTGGTGGATGCATTTGGTGCTTCTCAGGGAATGGCGACTCTTGGCTAATAGGGGATTGGGCCTCCGGTCCAGTGTCGTTCAATGAAACATGGTGAGCTGCGACGTATTGCGATTTTGTGTCTTCTGAGTTTGTTTGTTTTTACATTTTCTCTTTGGCGAAGGCGGCGTTTCGCCAAGCATGGCTACAATGGCCGTGCTTATGACATCAAGCTGAGCGTCCAGCACGATATCCTGACACAGAAAGGCTTTCAAGCTCTTTTAGAAGCTTGCCTGGAGCCACCTGCTTCCAAATTTGAGAAAGTTGATTGTGGTTGAGGGTGACAGGTGTTGAATAGTTTCAGCCTTTCCCATTGCAATGCCTTGAAATGCAATCTTGGCCATTTTATAATCCGCTTTTTCTGAGGCTGCTGCCTGGTGGGCTGCTCTTTGCAGGTCCCCCGTGCAGCCTTTTTGTCGGGGCATCGAGCAGCGTGCACGGCCGAAGCCATTTTCGCCCCTATGGTGACACCTGGCACTTTTCAGTGAGGCTAGCAAATGCAATTTGGTTGAACTTTGTACCTTGGCACACCTGGGCCGTAGAACGCCGTAGATCGGAATACTGTAGGTCGGAAAAGATCGGATATGTACCGAAGCGCTTCATTTTCGAAAGGCTACCTGTGCCGTTTGTCTTCTGAGGCAGTTTGTATGAAGGTCTTGATGGTGTTGCGCAGGAAAATCTACTATGTGTTTGAGCAGCCAGCGCAGAGCTGGGCCTTCAAACTCCCTGAAATGAAGGAGCTGATCAAGGAGTTCTCAATGCGACGTGGCAAGCAAGTGGCAAATATTGGCAAATATTGTGAGATATTGCGAGATATTGCGAGTATTTGCGAGTATGATACAACATGAAGCAATATGAAGCACATGTATGCAAGATTATGCAAGTTTTGTTGCTTTTGTGATCTTTTGTGGGCTTTGGTGCAGCGGCAGGTGGAAGGTTCTGACATGGATGTCATTTTTTGGCAGTGACTTGTTGAAGCCTACGCACCTGATCACCAATTTCAGGAGCGGGATTCCGGGACGGACCGTTGCGAAATGTGGGATGTTCAAGAACTTTCAAGAGTTTTCCATGGTTCTCCATGAATTTCTTGCATACTGTGCCACAATGTACCACACACCCCAGGCCAATCGACAAACTGCGTCGCACTATGACCAAAAAATGGAGAATTCGGCACAAGGTCTCTTGGAATCTTTTGGTCCTTTCTTCTTTTGAAATGTTTCGAACGTGTACAGTATGAACATGTATGAACATGTTAGATTTTTCAAGGCTTGTCAGTGTGCTCACACTTGACAAACACTGACCGGATCTGATAGACAAGCTAGCGTATGGCTTAGGCCCGCTTCGAGCGACGGAATGCGAAGCGGGCTGCTCCCCGCGTCTATCACGAGAAGGTGACGAAGAAGGACGGATCAGTTGGATGGCAAGGTGGAAAGGACCTGCACCTCAGCGCGGCCTACCCGGGCCGATTTTGCGAGACTGTGTTCAAGGTCTGGGCAAATCACTACAAAAGTCTAGAGCCGTGAGCCCGGATGACGCCGAGTTGGAGTGCGCGCCAAGTCGCGCAGTCTTATATACATACGCTTGGTATCGCTTGGTTTGTTTTGTGGATGCCTTTTGAATCCTTTTGAACAGGATGGGGCCGGCATCCATGTTCTGTAGCTTCATGTAATTGAAAAGCAACAGAAAATGTAAAGCTTGTACAGATTTGTGTACTTCATTGGATTTTGCAATTCACTTACCTAGATGGGACCCTAGATGATCCCAGATTTTCTTAGATGATGTGGCCAAGCAAGCGTCAGGCATGCAATAGTTCCCTGGCATTCCCTGGCACTGGCCCATCTCTTCAATCCTCTTCAGTATGTCATTCAATTTCGCTGTGGGATAAGCGATGCGGGAAGCACTTGGCAGAAACGTGCAGGAACACTTGGCCTGAGCGTCCAAAGCATTCCGAAGCAATCCAATGTAGTTGAAGAGTTGAATAGAATTGAGTAGAATATAGTAGAATTTAGGAACCACATGTTTTCGGTAGAAATCACCATATTTCTTTCCAGATTCTTGGTTGCCCATTCCCAGGCTTCTGAACCAGCAGAAGCCTTTTGGCAAGCAGCGCCTGCAGCAAAGGCGATTTTGTGGCATTTTGTGCATTTTTGTGCTATAGAATGGTGCCTTTTGGTATCTTGTGAGACAGAGGCACTATAAAATGTGGAACTGCTTTTGGCAGAGCATTTCTGGGTACTATAGAATAGAGCCAGATAGAGCCAGTATGAATGCAATTTGTTGGGACGTGGGGGGACATGGGATTGCAAGGGGGAAGTTGTGGATTCATTGTCTTTCCCATGCGTTTTTTGGCACAAATATCAGCGAAACCGCCCAACACCACACGTGCACTAGCCGACCGACATGATGGCTAAAGAATTCTGGGCGATTGATGAAACCCTGTTGTTGCTCATCATTGTCTGTGCAGCAGCTGGGACGCTGCTGTGGATGTTCAACCAGATTAAGTTGATGATTGGATGTGCGCAAGCCAAGCAAGTAGCTGATGATCTACTGGCTGCGCAACAAGAGATCTTGGATCTACGTGAACAAGTGGCCAACTTGCAGTCGGACCTCAAACTTGAGAAGGAACGCTGTTTGCGCCTTGAAGCCTTCATTGATGGTGAGGCTCCAACGAGACCAAGTTCAGATCCAAATCCTTCTGTCCATTCAATTCGTCCACAGCACGTGTATTTTGCACCTAAATATGGTCACTGTTGGCACGCTGATCGAAATTGCCAGCATTTGCGCCGAGGGGCTGTTGCGCAACTAGTACCTTGTTCTAGGTGTGCACCACGCCACTTCTAAATTAATGTGCGCTGCAGCCAGTACATTATTATAGCACCTACCAACTTTTGCGCGCGAAGGAAAACAGCAGAGCATGAAGAGGTGTCTGATGGCAGGAAGGGTTGTTGAGGGAAAGACTTGGAATTTTGAGAGGTTGAAGGTTGCCAGTACTGTTTCTGCTTTTGACAGTTCGAACCTGGGCACTATAAAAAAGGGATACTGTAAATAGAGTCAATTCAAAACCGTTTCCAGGCAGAGCCAGCTGGACAAGAAGTTCCACCGGGAGA